GAAAGCGTCAGCAACAACTAGCGTGCGAGGAAAGAGTCCGAGAAACCTCCACCCCCTCCATCACCTCCTCCTCCGCCGCCGCCCTCGCCTCCGTCGTCGCCGCCTCCGCCGTCGCCGCCTCCGCCATCTCCGCCCACCTCTGTCTGCGGTGACGCAATCGTCACCGCGGGCATCGAGTCATGCGATGATGGCAACTCCGATTCGGGCGACGGATGCACTGCCTCGTGCCAGCTCGAGCCGGGCTACGCTTGCCTCACTCCGGGTGCACCGTGCACCACGTGCGTGCACCCCAATGGTATGGACTGCGCAGGTGTGTGTAACGGCGTCGCTGCCCTCGACTCGTGCCGTGTCTGTGCCGGCGGGACGACTGGCCGGTCGGCCAACGCCGATCGCGACGAATGTGGGGTGTGCTTTGGCGGCAACGCCGCCAAGGACGATTGCGGCTTGTGCTTTGGAGACAATGCTGCCAAGGACAGCTGCGGCGTCTGCTTTGGCTCTAACGCCACATGTGCCGGCTGCGACGGAATTCCTAACTCGGGCGCTGTCCGCGATGTATGCGGCGTGTGCGGAGGCGACAGCTCGTCCTGCCTTGGGTGCGACGGCATCCCGATTCCCTTGGGCGGCGCCCATTTCGACGCCTGTGGCGATTGCGGCGGCAACGCCACTGTATGCTACGTCGGCTGCGACGGCGTCTACGGCTCGGGCATCCACTACGACTGCCACGGCGTGTGCGGCGGCAACGCCACCATCGACGATTGCGGCATGTGCACCGGCGGCAACGTTTCAACCCCACTCCCGTTCAACTACCACCTCGACTCGTGCGGCGTGTGCTTTGACCAGGACCTGACCTGCACCGCCTGTGCCTCTGGCGTCCTCGATGCCTGCGGCGTGTGCGACGGCGACAACTCGACATGCGTCGGCTGCGATGGGACTCTTGTCTCGGACGGCGGTGCTCTCTTTGATCTCTGTGGCGTATGTGGCGGCGACGGTACGTCGTGCATCATGGGCTGCGACGGGGTCCTCGGCTCGTCCGCCACCTACGACTGCACCGGGACTTGCAGCGGCACCGCCACCGTCGACGACTGCAATGTGTGCGCCGGCGGCAGCTCGCTCGTCCCCACCCCTGGCTTTTTCAAGGATGACTGTGGCGTTTGCTTCCGCGGAAACGCCGACGTTGACAGTTGCGGCGTGTGCTTTGGTGGCGACGCCGACCGCGATGTATGCGGGGTGTGTGGCGGAGGCGGTGCGGCGCTCGACACCTGCGGCGTCTGCTTTGGTACCAACCTTGCCATGGACGAGTGCGGCGTGTGCTACGGCAACAACAGCTTGTGCGCCAGCTGCGACGGCATTCCCAACTCGGGCCGGGTTGTCGACGCCTGCGGCGCGTGTACCTACCCGGCCCTGCCGTCAACCTGTGCCCTGGGCTCGCGCTCTTCGAGCGAATCGACCATGCTCTCGCCACTAGTCATTGTCGGTGCGGCGTGCTCGTTTGTCCTCCTTGTGGGGGTGGTCGTTGCCCTGGCGGCGCTCGCGTCGCGAATGCGGCGGTCGTCAGCGGTAGCCGCCTACGCCGCCTCGCTCGCCGACGATGCGCCGTCGGGTGAGATCTTTATCGTATCGACGGACATCGAGTCGTCGTCGATGCTGTGGGAGCTGAACCCAGAGTCGATGGACGACGTGCTCGAGCGGCACAACGCTGTTCTGGAAAACTGCGGCCGCATGTGCGGCGGACACTTGTTCTCGACCGAGGGCGATGCGTTCTACTATGCTTTTGCCTCGCTCGAGCATGCGCTCTCATTTGCGGTTTCTGTTCAGCTCGAGCTGCTTGCTATCTCGTGGCCGATCTGGCTCCTCGATGCCATGCCCGACCCGTCGTCTGACGGCTCGGCCGCGCTCTGGAACGGGCTCCGGGTCCGCATCGGCATTCACTTTGGCCGTGCCTCGGCCACCTACAACATTCGCGCCGCACGCAAAGAGTACTTTGGCGGGACCGTTCACCGCACCACAGCTGTCACCGACCTCGCTCTTGGCGGGCAGATCCTCGTCACCCGCGAGGTCATCGCCCAGTGGCTCCGCATCCTCACCGCCAAAGACTCTGGATCCGTGCCGGATGTTGTCCTCCTCCCACTCGCCCGCGTGGCCCTCCCGGGCTTTACTGACCCGATCGAGGTCTGGGAGCTCCTCCCACGTTCGCTTGCCGGTCGAACCCGCGTTTTTCCGCGCTCGCGCATTCTCCAACGCGTCCGCTCGGTAGTTTGGCTCGACGAGGGCGACACCATCGACTCGCTTGTTGCCTCCAACTCGCTCCCGGACTCGCTGCTCAACCCGATGGCTGCCCTCGCCGAACGCTCGTCGGCTTTACTCACCGCGCCGCACACACAAGCAACCACGTCGACGCCGACAAACGGCTCGGAAATCTTTGGCCTCCCGCATACCTCGACAACGCTCTCGGTGCCCGGCCTCGGCGTCCGGTCCTCCGAATCGTCAGCCTCAATCTACCGCCAACCGCTCCGCGGGCCGTCGACCTTTGACCTTGAGGAGCTCGTTCGCTCGGCCTCGGCTGCGTCGTCGAAGCGCTCCCGCCGTCGCCTCCGCAACGCTGCGATGGCCTCAGCCTCGCAGCGCCGTGGCTCGGGTCAAACCCGTAAGAAGTCCCGTGTCCGTCGCGCCTCGGTTGTCTCGGCTAGGGCGTCGGGCGAGTCTGTCGCCTCGCTCACCGAGCGCGAGGCCTCCCCGGCCGGCATGCTCCGCTCGCGCATCTACGCCCAGTCGCGCGACGAGCTCCTTCCCGAGCGCCACCCGCTCACCGCAACCGCATCGATTGTCGAGTCCTCCCCCGCTTTGCGTGCCACCTCTGCCGGCTTCGCCAACCATGACGTGGCCTCTGACAACAGCGACACCGACACCGACGAGCTTTCCGGCAACTTGACCACCGAGCGCTCGTCGCCCAACACTCGCAAGCGCAACACCCGCCTCGTCCGCTCAGTCCGCCGCAAGCGCAAGATCCGGTCTGTCACCGGCAGCCGTAAGGCTGGCGATGGCGCCCCCTCTCGCGCCGCCCGCGCCACTACGAGCTCGGTCGCTGACAATGCCACCAGCATGCGGCGCACCGTTCGGTCTGCCGCCAGTTCCCGGTTCTCGGTCCACAGCGCGAGCCAGTCGCGCCGCGGCTCGCTCGCCCAGCTCCATTCCCGCATTCGCCCTGCTACCTCGACCGAGGCCACCGCCCCGGCCCTCTCTGCCCTCCTCGCACCCGCTGACTCGGCCGAGGCCAAGACCCGCGGCGTTGACTCTGATCTGAGCCTCTAGGGTTCAATTGACCACGAAACTCGCGGGCCGAGCGAGCGCGGCGTGTGTGCAGCGAGTGGTTGTCACGCAAAGGGGAGGCAGGTATGGCCCAAGATTGTTACGGCATGCAAGCAGCGACCATCGTACGCCACGCCCAATATGCCCCTGTTTCCAACCATTGAAGCTAGCCCACCGCCAGCCTTGTCGACCGCCAGCTGTGTCGACCACCGCCGAGCCCGTGTCAGCCGACGCCACACACAAACTCACGTGCACACACCGCTCTCGCCAGCAAGCCCTGCCGCCAACCATGACTGCCGACCATTCACGCTACATGCCATACTCAACCACCTTTGCTAACGATCTTCTTTGCGGACGGACTGCGCTCATCACTGGTGGTGGCTCGGGCATTGGCCTTGGCATTGCCCGGGCCATGGTCTCGGTCGGCGCTTCAGTCGTTCTTGTTGGGCGGAGGGAGGAGGTGGTGACGGCTGCTGCAGCTGAGCTCAACGGCATCATCTCGTCGCTACCGAGCACGACCGAGGCCAAAGCTGTGGGTCTGGCCGCCGATGTGCGGAAGCCTGCCACGCTCGAGAAAGTTATGGCCTCCATCGAGGACGATGAGCAGCTGCCGCCGCTGGCTGTGGTAGTCAATGGTGCTGCAGGCAACTTTCTGGCGCTGGCCGAGGATCTCTCGCCCAACGGCTTTGCCACTGTTATGGGCATCGATGCCCTCGGGACCTTTAACGTGTGCTCGGCTGCCCTGCCGTTGCTGCGTAAAGGCGCCGAGGCGCTCGGCTCACCGGCCGTCGTCATCAACATCTCGGCCACGCTCCACAAACCGGCAACCTGGTACCAGAGTCACGCGTCGGCTGCCAAGGCTGCCATTGACTCGCTGACCCGGAGTCTGGCGCTCGAATGGGGTGCGCTCGGTGTGCGGGTGGTTGGCATTGCGCCCGGGCCCATCGCCCACACCCCGGGCTTTGCCAAGCTCGGCGGTGCTGCCGAGGGCGTCTACGACGCCATCGCTAAGGTCGTCCCTGCCGGACGTATTGGCCAGGTCACCGACATCGGCCACGCCGCGCTCTTCCTGGCCTCGGGCGGTGCCGAGTGGATCACAGGTGCGACCCTGGTTGTCGACGGCGGCGCCGTCCTCTACTCGCAGCCGATCATGCCGCGCTCGGTCGTCGCCTCCCACGCCCGCTCCGTTGAGGCCGCCTCCCGCGCCACAGGCCTCCCTGCCACAAAGTCGCGCCTCTGACGTGATGTTGGCTGCTTGTTGCGCCCACGTTTGTCTTGCGCCGCTGGTCGCTTCTCGCTGGCTCCGCGTGGCATTCATGCCCGTCACACTGCCGCATGCGACAACGTGTACATGAGGCAACTCTGACTCGACAACAACCGATGTATGCGAAGGATAACAACGGCGTGATGTCGACTGTTGCCTCGCCCGCACTGCCGTCAGCCCACGTTGCCGTGACCGAATGCGGCAGGTGCGGCAAGTCATTTTTTTTGGTGCTCCAGTCGTAGCCCTCTCGTCATTTCACCGCCCAACACACCACTCCAGCCACACCTCTGCCAACAGACCTCTGCCAACCTTGGCCCCACCCTCGGCCCCACCCTCGCTCGCACCCCACCCCACCCCAACTCCTTCCCCTCCTTCCCAGCCCCACACCTTTCCTGTGTCACAGGTTAGCCACACTTGGGCACCATGGACTGTGTATCCTTGACTATTGATGTACGTACCCCCCCCCCCCCCCCCCTCCCTGCTCTTCTTGTTGCCCGTACCATAGGTAGTGCGGCTACGTGCTAGGTGACCAACTTGTTTGCTTTCCGCTCGCCTGCCATTGGTCAACGATGAAAACGTTCATTTTAACGTTCGCCTCGCTTGCCCCGCTTCCCCAATTATTTATCGTTTGTTTTTATTGATGGCATCAATGAATGCCTCCGCCCGCCCCCTCCCCCCCCTCCTTCCCTCCTTCCTCCTTCTGGTGGTTGTGGTAGTAGGCATAGCGGTAGTAAGAGCGGGATTTTGTTGAAAGTAACCATACTGCTATGTAGTAGTATGCTTGTACTACCCCCCTATCAACTTTGTGGCTCTCAATCCTCCTTGTACCTCCCATACAGGCCGTCTGTATCCCCCCCCCCCCTGTCGCGGCTTCTTCACAAATGTCGCTTAACCACGTCTGGCCGACCCCCCCCCCCCCCCCCCCTCCACACACACACACTGCCAAGCTGTGCATCCTCTCGCGCACTCACCCCCAACCAACCAACCAACCAACTCTTTGTCGTCGCTGCTGACTGGTGCATCGGTTGGTGCAAACTGTGCTTCTCTCTCTCGCTGGGCTGGCCAACTGCTCTGCCTCTCTGTCCTTGCCGCAAATGTGGCCAACGTTGCAAAATGTCGTACTCTTTCGGGAACATGGTCACAGGTCGACAAAACGAACTCGCCCCATCTGACACCGTATGTGTACTCGCCTTCGGTAGGAACATGGGTTCCCGTTGTCCTGCCCAAGCCGCTGAGATCAGGGCTAGAATCGGTTTCGGATGAGTTTGCCCCGTCATCACCGCGGTCGGGTGCCATGCCGTCGACGCCGAGAACAACTCTGGCTCAGCTACCGTACAGACGGAGACAACGCACTGTGTCGAACCCGGCCCAGCCGTCAGCGCTGGTGCGGGACTCGTCGCTCGCCCACGGCCGCTCGCCACTCTCGCACAAGGCGCCCGGCTCGCCCGGCTCATCATCTCAGCCATCGTCGCCGACCACGAGCCAGCCCGATGACATGGCATCGTCCGCGCCGATGCCCGGCATCGCAGCGGCGGCAGCTGTCCGCGCTGTTGCTGCCGCTGCCGCGGTCGCTGCCGCCGACGACGAGGCTGCTGCCGCCGCTACCGCTGCCGATGACTCTCCGGCGGCCGCGTCGACGAGCACTCACCCGAACCCGTCGCGGTACGTGCCGCCGCGGTCGCCGTCGTCGCTTCTCGAGGTCCTCGACGAGCCGGCCTCGCCGATCTCGCCGGTCTTCCCGTCGACGCCGTCGGCAGCGTCGTCAACCTCATCGCTGGCGTCGGCCTCAAGCATGTCGGACGTGTCGCAGCGTAGCGGGCTGGCCGAGGGCGAGGAGACGCCTTTCCGCGGGCGGGTGGCCGACGTCGAGGACGAGCTTGTGGTCCTCTCGTGGAACATCTGGTTCGGCGACGTCGCCGTCCTCTCGCGGCTACAGGCCATCGGGCGCATCGTCGACGAGGCGCGCCCCGACATTGTGGCATTGCAAGAAGTGACGCCACCAGTCCTGGCCTACCTGCTCCAGCAAAAGTGGACAAGGCGGTTCTACGTTTCAGACGGAACCGGAAACTCGCTCCACCACTACGGCGTTGTTCTCTTCTCCGTTTATCCCATGACCTCGCTCGAGATCTACGAGCTGCGCTCTCGGCTTCACCGGCGGGCCATCTTTGCCACCTATCTGCTGCCGTCGGGCGCCACTCTCTGCGTCTCGACCTCGCATCTTGAGAGCTACCCCAACGACACCAAGCTCCGCGCCGCTCAGCTGGCCCACATCTTTGGCCGCATCTCCAAGGCCACATACTCGCTGTTTATGGGCGACACCAACATGCAGCACCCGGACGAAGACGCTCTCATCGACAAGTATCCCTTTGCCGACGCCTGGCCCACCCTCTGGCCCGATAATCCCGGCTACACCGTCGACGCAAAGTCGTCTGCCATGGCCGGCAAGCCCGTCCACTCGCGCACTCTCCGTCTCGATCGCATCTTCAGCTCGGAAGGCCTCCATCCGGTCTCCATGACCCGCCTCGGCACCTCGCCCATTCCCATTGTTAAGCAGGAAGGGTTCTGCCTCGAGAAGAAGATCCCCGACGACGTCGACATTTATCCGTCAGACCACTACGGCATCCTCGCTGTCCTCGCCCTCGCGCCCATTGCGCTCTCGCGCTCGGCCTCCATCGGCTCGCGCCCGCGCTTTACGCTCGCTCCCACCCGCGTCCTCGCGCCCTCGCTTTCGTCGCCCTCTCTCGCCGCAACCTCGGTCACAGAGCTCACCGTTGAGTTTGATCTCATGGCACTCTCGCCCTTCATCGTCGATAACCCGCCGGACTCGGACAATGCCGAACCGGCGGCTCAATCGCCGCCGGGCCCGCTGCTCTCGGCTCCGCCAACCATCGGCCTCTCGCTTGGCTTCTCGCTCGGTGGCTCCGCATCGTCCAGCGCCGACTCGGAGGACGACACCGGGCTCGCCCTCTCGGCCGACGACTCGCGCTACCACATGGAGCCACTCGAGACGCCAGCCGCCACAGAGTCGTCGCTATTTGGCTGACTCGACACGTCACCGAGACTCGTCCAACTCGCCGATGAGGAACTGGGCCATCTCCTCAACCGCCTCGTCAGAGTGGTCCGCATCGTCAAATCCCTCGGTGGCGTCGTAGCCGGCATCATCGGCAATGATGTCGCCACCAGGGTGCTCGTAAACATACGACGTCACGTCATACACCTTGCCGTCCACAATAATCCAGCAGTCATCCTCGGTGTCATGAAGCGCCACCTCTTCCGCCGTGATCTTCCGCAGCCGCGGCTTCTCCACAGCCTCTCCGCCAGAGCTCGCCGCCGCCGCCGCCGTCACTCGCCGCCGCCCCGGCAAGCTCGCTCCCGGTCTCGCTGCCACCCCAAACACGCCCACCGAACACCAGCACTTGCTACAGTCACGCGGGCGGCACTCAGCATGCTCTTGGTCTGACTTGGGCGAGGGGATGAGTCTGGCGACGTAGCTGACCTGCTTGCTACCTCAGACCTCATTGAGTACAGCACACTCTGCTCAACTCGACCAATCATCAGCCAAAGCCCGCCACGCCTGCCACGCCCCCCTTACCCCCATCATCAACCGATCCGCCACCCACCGCCCAGCCTTAAGCCGACTCCCCCCTTGCTTTCCAACCTTATGCCGATTCACAGCCCATACCGAATCCTCCACGTCACACACACACACACACACAAACACACACACACATAGCCCGATGCTCACACCGATTCCCTTCCGCAGCCCAAACGCAGCCTGATCCCCCTCCTCCCAACCCGATCCCCTTCCCCTCCAACCCGAGCTGCCCCCCCCCCCCCATCTTTGCAGCTTGCGGTAGTGTGAGCAAAATCGGGCTGTTTCAGCACAGTGCCTGGCCAGCGAAGCACAAGCGGCCAACGCACCAAGACTGCACTCCACCGAGCTCGGGACTTTCTCAACCCAGTACGTACACCATACCTACCCATGCAGTCAATACTGGGTACATTATCTTCTAGAATGTGTCTATGTAGTATTTGTAGAGATAGAGGGGGGTGGGAGGGGGGAGGGGGGAGGAGGGGGGGGGGTAACGGTACGGTACGGTACGGTTACGGGTACGGGTACGTACGTACCGGTAACG